CGTCTACACAAGGAATTAAATTTGATACTAAACAATATAACTTCGATGTTTGAGTTTTCTAAATCAACAATTGTATGGATAAAATACTGACTAGGAATCCCAACAAATTATTCAACTCAAAAGGAAATTAACTCATCATTCCACATGAAAAAAAACCCATTTCAATGTATCTAACGTCACTCGTCTCAAAGATCGTTCAAGCTGAATACGGCGTTCTGTGGTATGGACAATACACGCGGCAACAAATGTAATGATAAGCTATCTGCATACGTCTTCAGTTCATTTCGGAGTTTCCTTCTATAGTGTTGTTAACCATCCATAGAGTTACCGGGAACCAGAGAAAATACATCAATCAGCCTTGTGTTGAGGATTATGTCGACACATCTGGGGCAGGTGGAGGTGTTGCGGTGTTTGTGGTGTTTTCAGATTAGTAAGGGAAAGAGCAAGGTTCATACTTTGTCTTTCTCCACGAGCAATATCAATAATAAATCTCTCCTCCCTGTTATAATATAGTGTTTTATACATATCCAAATTATTGCACGATCATATGAAACTTGACATGATTAACTGGACACACGCTCGCCTACAGATAGAACAGTCATTAGTTCAGGTCCCAACAGACCCAGGTAGACTTCGCCTTGAATGGACACCAGCTACAGTCATGGGGAGTAAAGGCGGCAGGTGTGATGTTGACCATATCAACGCCCAGGTACCACTTGGTCTATAAAACATAGACCAACCCTATATGCCCACACAGCTGACGACCTTTACTCAAATTGTATGTTGCATAATATAATAAACATAAGCAATGTAGTGTATACCCAACTGATGATACCACATGGCACAGGATGATGGTTTATACTGTAAGATCTTTACGCAAGGAAACCAAATGAATATTTTCCGAAAAAATGACAGAGGAAAGGAGGCTTCGCTATTGTATAGTCCTAACTGTGAATCGTAACCTAAAGAACGTTATAATATGTAGGGACTAGTAAATTGTCCAACGGACAAGTATCAAGGTTGATGAAGTCACTGAATATTTATTCAATGGTAGAATATAGATTGGTAGGATCTCGATAAAATATTTCGGGATACAGCTAAGACTTACAGGGGATCTCAGCTACTCCCTACCATTATAAATCTCACCTGAATTCTTATGATTTTTGTTATTATTATTTCTGTTGGTGCTAGGCCGATGGAAAGGCTGGAGCTGTCGTTTGGCGTAGTGACGAATGACTAGCTCTAAGGGTTTCTCCTAGTAACACTAAGTAAAAGTCATAAGTTATGTGCGCCTTCGTACAATTTCTATTCTTATCGCACCTATATTCAACTAAGTTTATTTTAAGTGCGCAATTCTTTTAACCACAAGATGCAATTAACTCTTGCCGGACTGAAATATTCCGTTGGTTTGTCACATATAGGACACCAGTCTGTCATTTCTTATGTTGTTCTTACTGTGCAGTGACTATCTTGGTCTATAATCATTCAATGTTTCTTGAGTAGTAGCAGTCAAATACAATACTGCCGGCTTGCTAGGCCCGTCGCGTGGGGGAAATCCGACCTGGTTGGTTGGTGCCCGTCTCCTTCCAGGGGAGCCATTGTCTAGCTAGCATGAAACCTCGCGGCTGCAGTTTTCCGGCGTGCACCACTAGGAGGTGGGTGTTTACATGGATGCTCTACAGGTCATTGGCAGACTATTTCATTTTCAGTTTTCACCTCTCCGATGAGAAGCTAGCCAACCTTAACACTGCTGGCTGCAGTGCCAAGCGCCTGGGCCGACTCCTACACGCCTATGCATTACGGTATATAAAAAAGTGTTCCTATGAATCTACCTCAATACATGTATCATTCATGTCCGGATAATAAATGACCTCTAAATAGTGTATATTCGCGTCTCTTCAGGTCGGTCTTTGAAGACAATTTTTCTGACATTCATGATCTAGAATATTCCAGAGAAAGTTGACTAAAAAGCTAAACAAATGGGGAAGCAGAAAAACATGCACAAAACAACACAAATAACATAACGTTTCGGCCGGGCAGCCATTGTAAAACTACACAAAAATAACAAAGAGGAGAGGAGAGTATACAGCTGTCTAAGGGGTGAGGTGAGCAACGTTTTAAAAAAAAAATGTAATGTTGAATAAATGAAATAAAATAAAATAAACGATGGCTAAAAAATATAGTCACAACAAATAAAAAAGTAATATTTTAATATATATAATCTAATAGTGGAAATAAAAGAAATACAAATGCTAATGAAACATAAATGGTATTGATAAGAGTATGAAATAAATTAAGAGAAAAGAAAAGAATTAACATTCAAAATGTGAAACGAGTAAAACTGTTTAGATGAAGGTATGTTGGATATTGATACCAGCTGGACTAAGAACGCCAAGGCTGTGGATGAGGCGATTTTCCAAAGCGAGGAGCCTTGCTTTAAAAATCTCCTCATCTACAGCCTTGGCGTTCTTAGTCCAGGTGGTATCAATTGTGACCACATTATAAGAAGAGCAAGATTTAGGAACTACTGCAACAAACTGCAATATTTCAGACGTACAACGAAATGGATTTTACAATCAAATTTCTCTGAAATTCCTTGTTAGCTTGACTACAGTCACCCCTATATTTTCATGATCTAGAAAACAATAAACGTCCCTTGAGTTAGCGCTGTTGTAAATGACAAGCCAAAATTGTCTTTTAATAAACGATGGTAACACTGTGCATATATATCTGCGTCTGTGGCTTAGGTGTTGCGAGCTCGCTTCGCCATGCCGGGGTGAGGGTTCGAAATCCCAGCTGCTAGTCGGTTTTGACAGTGGTATCGAGAACCGACCATCTAAAAAGCAATAGCAAACTACTGAACGTGAATTTGTCTTTAAAAAAACCCCACAAATGCTAAAAATGATGGTGTTGGTTCTGCAGCGTCATGTAAAGAATAAGCAGCTGACTTTAAGGAATTTGAAATGCATTTTTTAACCATTTGTACACAGTTAAACACATTTCATGAGCCCACAGAGATGACATTTTACAGGATAATGCTGACGATTGTTTAGACAGAAAAAATGAGTGATTAGACTCTTTGCTTTGAAAAAGGCTAAGTACCAAAGAGAGAACCAGCCATCATTGTGACCAAGATTAGGAAATACTGTGACAAAATGCAACATTTCAGACGTACCGTTGACAGCGAAAAGGATTTTACAATCTTTGTTCATGGATGGAAGATGTCAGACTCTAACTGACACAAGCTGTTTAGGACGATATGATGTTGTGAAGCGTGATCGCTCTTGTCAGTCAGCAGTGCATTTGATGAAATTTGACCATTTTATTGTCCTTTTGTAGAGGCATATATAGACTTGACTTTGTAGTGATACATGTAAAATACGTCTTGGTCTTAAATCACTTAATTTCATTCATGGCAACTTGGGAGTCACGGTGTTTAGAAGATTTTGAGTCGGATCTTCTCGGATATATATAAACAATATTCCTTATATATCTTCTATATCTAATATTCTATATCTATATTATATCTTATATCTTATCTATCTATCTTCTATATATTCTTCTTCTTCTTCTTCTTCTTTTCTTCTTCTTCTTTTCTTCTTCTTCTTCTTCTTCTTCTTCTTCTTTTTCTTCTTTTCTTCTTCTTCTTTTTCTTCTTCTTCTTCTTCTTCTTCTTCTTCTTCTTCTTTCTTCTTCTTCTTCTTCTTCTTCTTCTTCTTCTTCTTCTTTCTTCTTCTTCTTCTTTCTTCTTCTTCTTTCTTCTTCTTCTTCTTCTTCTTCTTTTCTTCTTCTTCTTCTTCCTTTTCTTCTTCTTCTTCTTCTTCTCTTCTTCTTCTTCTTTTTCTTTTTCTTCCTCTTCTTCTTCGCGTTCACAGATGTAAACTCCATCGGAAAGTTCTGGCTGTTTATCCATTTTTGGACTGCAGTGTGTTCCAGAACTTGAGTGTTGCGTGTGCATCCGTTTTCAAGAGCTGACTCATTTGTATGCAGACTGTTGGTTCCCTGCCTCTCAGGCTGATGCACTCCGACTTCGAAGGAAGCTCTTAATTAGTCGACTCCTTCGACATGCTTGAGAGTAGCCAGTGGGTCTATTCTTTTTTTCAAACTGTAAACTTCATATTATTGTAACAATTGTTCCCCAATGTAAATTTGGTGAATGGTAAATTCATGAAAAGTAAAAGCGACAGACGTCATTTTGACCACATCAGCCATCGAATGCCAATGGTAATTTTGTTTTTCTAATCACACATAAATAAGTCCAGCATCAACTGTCCCACACACAGCTCTTAGGACGACATAGCCTAAAAAAGGAACACATTAACATCTCAGGACGTAAATACCACCTGTGCAATGCTCACCAGATTACCTATTCAGCACCATTGGTCTGTAAAATATACGCTCCTAGCGTCATTTCCTCGACATACCACTAGCTTAAACATAGTTCTGCAATACACTTTCTTCAATATTAGTCTGGATTTTTTCTCTGGGATACGCTGGTCTGTTGGGAAACGAACAGGCGGACAGACAGGCTTACTCTGCACAACTTATTGGAATACTGATGCATGATAAGGCAGACGTGGTTAGCGCCTTGTGGGAGAGCGTGTGCAATTAGGAGGAGCAGACGGATCACCATAGTCTGGTGAGAATAAAGAAGCGGGGTGTGACGAGGGGTTCTGGTAGATGCTCCAGGCTCAGAGGAAAGGCAAGACGTAGTTCAGTCAGAATGCTACTGGTACCACTTGTATCAGAACTTTGCGCTGACTGCTGAAGATAGGGACGGAGCGCTTATGGCAATGTTCAAGTGCTGTGATGTCGGTTCGTGAATCCCAAAAAATCAAAATAACTATCAAGCAGCATTGTCTTCTAGAAATTGCTTTCAACCAGTCTATCCGACTGATGGTTTTCTGTTACTATGACTTCAACGATTATAGCAATGAGCAAAAGTATATAGTCATATTAATAAGGCAATTTGTAACTAATAAACTCATGATAGAATACTACTAGTCTTCTACACTTGTTGGTCCCATGAATGGGCACGTTAATCGCATCGTTGATCGGAATTTCGTGTTGTACTTGTAGTATATCAGCAGATTAATTGCTGCATTGAACTCTTCAAAATGTTTTCTGAGACCATTCGAGCTCATGTAAAGCTTTGAATAGGCTCCTTCTAATGAAAATGCAGGCACAGTTACAGTGCCAAAGCCTATGATGATTTTTGGAGTGTTGCAAATTATATACGCAACGGAGATAAGAACTACTTGCTGAATCACCATGAGATCTTTTCTGGTTAATTTCTCAGCCATGTTGCCAGAATCCTTAGAATAATCATTTTTACATGTTTCATCTTTGTTAAACAGCTTCCTAGAAACAGAAGCAGAAGACTGACGGAATTTGGACGCTGCTTGTAGACTGTTGATCATAATGACCACACATACAAAAATGATCACCTGCGTTAATATGGGGAAGATCATGTCGATTATCATCCACACGATCTCTTTAATAAACTTCCTTTGTGGGGAGATCCACAGTGATGGTCGTGATAAGTTGAACTTTCTGTCAAACTTTTGCACCATTCCCATGTTGACTAGAATGGGTAGGTAGATAACAACAGAGAATATGGCAAAAATTATCATAATGGTAACCGCTCTTTGTCTAGTAAACATATGTTTAAACTGGAGTGGTCTGGACACACACATACAGCGAGCAACAGCTAAAAAGGTTGTGGTTAGTACATTGGCCACGCTGATGAATATCATGCAAGTACCGAAAAACATAAATATACCATAAGGTTCTATTGGGAAATGAATGGAGAATTTCAGTTCTTTAATGTAAAAGATAACAGCAATACCCAGACACAGGGCAGATATCAGATAAGCCAGGTCAAAAAGAGCCAGCGCAAAGAAAGACATAATAACACCATCAGTCAAACCCATGGCTATAAATGTTTTTATGTTGATTAGATTTGCAATGACGCCCACTCCTGCAAAAACCGTTCCAAAATTAGCACTTAATTCCATAATCATAATATATTGCTCGTAGGTAATCAAGCTTCTCAGCGCTGATGTCTCATTTGGAAAGTTCCACAAGACATTCGTAGTTCTAGATAAGATAGATTCGTTACTTGCCATATTAACACACAGTTTATTGGGTATCCGTTGGGTTCGTCCTTTTTATAAATAAATGATTAACACTATGGGCACTGAAACATGAATGTGCATATTACTATTGATCTTACATTCTGAGACTGTTAAGTCACTGCCTGCAAAAGGAAGACCTTAAGCAGCTTATTTTTTATACTTGTGTAACTCTTTCAGTTCCGGACTGCGATCGGTTCAAAAGGTAGTTGCGCTTCAAAATTATAAAATTGCGCCCTAAAATTATTTACCTGATAGCCCTAATGGAGAGACAGAATATGGTTCAGTGGCTATTGTTAGTGTGGGTTATTATAACAAGGCAGTGAACTAGGTGAAGTTTTCAAAATTTAAGGAACAAGTTACAGCTCAATAAACGCCTAAAATTGTTTGCTAACTGTTATATTCTTTTCTCAGCTTAGACAGCAGGTCCGTCGGTGCACATTTAACACACACAAAATCTGTGTAGGAATAAATTAGGAAAGCAAATACAACAGAATGAATGCACTTTCATAGGTTTCTTATACACATTGATGCATTTTCATATTACTCGTACCTTTGAGAAATTTGACAATATTTTACCAACACTTTTTTTTAAACCGACATTGTTACCACTTGTTAGTAACAGTTATCGCCGGTGCTACGGAGTTCGCGCACTGCGCTTCGGTTATCCCTTGTGTCATGATGCGGCGGTGTCCATGGCTTAGGCGTTGCGAGTCAAACTCGTGATTCCAACGTACTGCGATTAAAACCCACTGCTGGCTGCGTGGACTTTTTATAATGGTATGGGGCGTCGCAGGTCGACCCAGCCTAAAATAGGTACAAGGATGGCTGACCTGCGGAAGTAAAGATGGTCGGCGTTATGCTCACTACATTACCCACCTAGTGCCGATTTGTCTGTCAAAATATGGCTGCTCTTCCCATATGCCAGATACGCCTTAGGCGTGAAAAGGAATTTTTACATTTTTTTTTACATTTTGCCATAATGTTGATCGGTCGTCTAAACATAAACCAGTAACAGTTAACCGATGCGTTGCCGTGAATATTGAACACTTGCTGAATTAATGCCACAGGACAAATGTATGCACGTGTAAATATCACCATTAAATTTACTCTGCCCCCCCCCCCACCACCCCCACGACCCCACCCCACCTGGTTATTATCTTGGCTATATTGAAATTCATTGATCACGCCGATTATATGTAACAGAAGCTTTAACCTTTGCAAAATACATTTTAAAGTAGCTATGCCCATTGTAACAGTTTAAACTGTCAACCCTGTCTCTGCTGAAATAACATTCCGTAAATGTGAAACTATTACTTGCTGCCAGTTTTTTGGTGGAAAAGGAAGGAGGGGTTTGGGGAAGGGGAGAGAAAGAAAAAAAGAGGGGGGTGGGAATGGTTAGCTATTACTGGAATTTGTGTTTACATTTTCATTACAAAACTGTCTTGCTAATTCCTAGCTGTCGTTGACTGAATGCTTACAGAGATTTTAGTTATCTTGACAAGGTGTTAAACAGCCCAGTTTAGTTTTCTGTCTGATGCAGTATTAAATTTAGCCATAACAGGGATGTGATATCTATGTAAATGGTCTACAAAACTCAGAGGCGAGAGAATCGAATTAACTGCACCAGATTTTCTATCCCATCTCTCTCTGTGTCTCTCTCAGACGAATCTCTGTCTGTCTGTCTGTCTGTCTGTCTGTCTGTCTGTCTGTCTGTCTGTCTGTCTGTCTGTCTGTCTGTCTGTCTGTCTGTCTGTCTGTCTGTCTGCCTGCCTGCCTGCCTGCCTGCCTGCCTGCCTGCCTGTCTTCCTGCCTGCCTGCCTGCATGCCTGTCTGTCTGTCTGTCTGTCTGTCTGTCTGTCTGTCTGTCTGTCTGTCTGTCTGTCTGTCTGTCTGTCTGTCTGTCTGTCTGTCTGTCTGTCTGTCTGTCTGTCTGTCTGTCTGTCTGTCTGTCTGTCTGTCTGTCTGTCTGTCTGTCTGTCTGTCTCTCTCTTTCTTTCTCTCTCTCTCTCTCTCTCTCTCTCTCTCTCTCTCTCTCTCTCTTTCCTCTCTAAAACGACAAACTACCTGATAAATGTGTTGTAAATAACGATTTTTATAGATCTTCGCAAACATTGTACGCGTGAAATGAACCCACGAAATTCAAAACGCGAGGCAAACGGTGTCACCACTTCGCGACAGGGATCCATATGTACTAAATAAACAAGCAAATTGAACTGACAGTTGTATTTATAAACTCAAACTCTAACAAACAGATTACTTTGTGGATAATATCAACAAGAGGGGGTCTACGGAGAAGATGGACTGAAGACATTACATAATTTGTTTATTCATCGGAAAAGTAGCCGGTGAGCGCCAGTTTAGGTCCCAAAATTATTTCTCTTTTCAACAGCAAAAGTAAAAGATGCTTATAACGAATACGGTGGCAATGATGATATGTCGAAAACTGATTCCGATTTTTTCAAACCCTAATCATAAACTGTAGTGGGTGGAGCCCATAACAGAAACAAAATCTGCGTTTGGCAACAGTTGAAATGAGTACATAATGAGGCAGATCACGAAGACAGGCAGACTTTCAAATAGCTGGAGAGGCTCGCTCTTATGTTTCTAGAACAACACACACATATATATATACATATATATATATATATATATATATATATATATATATATATATATATATATATATATATATATATATATATATATGAGCACATTATCATCATGTAGCAGGTCCTTTGCAGAACGTCGTTCTCATCACGGTCTGACCGAAATACTCGGTCACGCGCCAGCGTTCCCTATCACGTGTACTTTCATATTCAAGGAGTCCCTTATATCCTGTGCCATCCTCGTGTTGGTCGGCCCCTCCTTTGCTCCTCCTTTTTCCTAATCCTCCATGGCTCTTGTATGGCCTCATGCCTTAGACAAGATGCTATTACTTGGTGTTAGGATTTTCCTAATCTTCTTGTCCATGGCATTCTGAGATCTTGCAGCTTTCAGCTTTCTCTTTTTTTCAGTAGATTAATAGCTTCCCTAATACCCTTATAGATTGTATCTCACAGCTGGTATCCAGTTATTTTTTCCAAAGGCTTGATATTTTGAGGAATCTCTGGGCAGGTCAATTCAGAATTTTCTTTGGAATATTCAATTCCTCTGTCTATTTGAACTTTAATGTTTACGAAAAACTTTTCTTGACTATTTTTTAATTGTTCCAGTTGGTTGACTATATTTACCAACAAATTTCATTGTGGTTTTACAAATGTCTCCGTGGTTTTATTTTGCCTGTGCTGTCTCCCCTATTTGTGCTAGGTCATCTAAATGTTTCCTTGTATCTGCCATTAATCGCTTCCTTATTACCGTATGTGGTATTGTTTTATTTTTGCTTCATGCAGCCTCATGTCTCTTAAGACTGTATTCAGCCTTTAGCAACATTTTAGGTAGCTTTGATTGGGGTATATCCATGCCCTATGCGTCCAAGCAGATTTCATTGCTTATCTTGTTGCAGAACATTTTACTTGAGACTGTGACTGAAAATTGTTCGTTTACTTCTTCATCATTGAGATATCCTACATTATGTTGCTTTTTACGATTGTAAGTTGTTATACATCTCCTGAGTTTCAACTTGATTTTAAATTACCAACGGAGAGTGAACAGTGCTGATATCCTAATGCTATAGCTGTTCATATTGGAATGCTTCCACGTTGCCTTGTGTTAGTGTTTTCTTGAGGTTTACCTATTATTATGAATTATTTATGAAAGGTTATACAATGACTTGACATTGCATTGCCCAACTTTTCATAAAATTTTCATGTCATAGTGTATGCAGCAAATTATATTAGCAGTTGATTTAACCTTTTGCCACATTAGTATATTGGAGTTACCTGTAGAACCCAGGAGTCTGTTGCGGATCTAGATGATTTGTGACCGAAATGCAACATTTAGTGCTTCCTTCAGGCCTGAACAGTAGTGTAAATAAAATTTAAAAAAGGCTTTTTACTGCTGATATTTTAGACGTCAGTGGTGTATCTGGCACATAAGACTGGAGGTATGTTTTGTGACCAAACAGCCCTGGTTGGGTGTTCTAGTCAACATAATGCCGACCGCTTTAACTTCAAATGACTCTGCCTATTACATTATAAGGCTGGGTCGATCCAGTAGCCAAAGCCATGTTTGAAAATGTTCTGGCATCATTAGGATTTGAACCCATGACCTTCGGATCCGCATGCGACCTAGCCACTGCACAAGGCGGTGTAGAATACGGAGTGGTCTGTTGTCAGCCTAAAGATGTATAGTCACCTAGCTGGTGGAATCGCTCTTTAATCATACATTTTTGTCAATGGAGGTTTGGGTGGAGGGGGGGGGGGGGGCGGAGGGGGGTTGTGGGTGGGGTTTTGGGGTTTTTACTCCAAAAAAAAAGGGGGGGGGGGGCTTACAAGGGATTAAAACAGGGGTCTTCGAAATGAGAGCAGAAAGTCTTAACATTGACAAGAGGCTTTTACACGGGTGGTAGGGGGTTTTAAGTTTATATGTTTTATAGTGACATTTCAGTTGCTGCACTACACGATAGCAGTAAAACACCTGGCATCCCAAATTCACATTTCATGTGTGTGAATAAGTTTATGTGGATAGAACCTAGTGTATATATATATGTGTGTGTGTAGATCTGGAGCAAGACTATAGTCCAGAAGTGAACAACAACAGAAGTTTAAACCAGAATTTACAGCGGGTGAACGCGAAGAAGAAGACGAAGAAGAAGATTACCTTAAAATTAAAATGATGGAACAAGACCGTCCTAAATAAAGATAAGACGCGTGAGTCTAGCATAAAGGAAATAGGGCGGCTTAGAATGAGCTACAGAGTGAATTAGAGTTAAGGAGTCTGTTTTCACATAGGTAAACGAGTGCGGTTACGTCAACCAGATCTGACTTGTGGTGAATATGGTGTCTTAAAGTTACAGTATCCACTTTTAATCTGATGGTGGTAAAGGTAATCAG